GACATGAGATGATTAGTGTGTGGCATCATTTTGTATAATCTTTATTGTTGGTTATAAATTAATTATTTGAAAACCCTTTGTGCTTAATTTGATTTTATGTATCACATTTTTTGTTTTCCATGTCATTGTCAAAAGTCAAATATCCTAAAATATCCTGAACCCTAAAATTTTTGTTCTCTTATGATTTAGGATGGAAGGACTCTATGTACTTCAACACCAAAATACGGAACAAGCAAAAAGGCAAGAAATGAGGAAGGTTATCTCGTTGGAATGTCTGTTTGTTATCCACAACCAGGTTCTATCAAGATTAATGATGGTGAAACTTTGACTCTAGAATCAAGATAAGAAAATGAGTTTTGTACAGGAGCTATGGGAAATTTTTACATCTATTTGGCAGAGAAACTACCACAAAGATACTAAAATTGTAATTTAAAATTATTCATTTGTCTTCCCTTAGTATTTAAGTTATTTTGGAGATAGTTTATGTCACAAAAATAAACCTCAAAAAAATCTTCGTCCTTGTCTCGCTTGATGTGGATATATTTTTTCTTGCATGCATGTGCTACCAATTGGTTCATAAGAAAGTAAGGAACGAAATAAAAAGAGATGACACTTTCTATTTTTTTATTCGATATTCAAATCTTTGATTCTTTAAAGGTGTATGATTCCTTTTGTTTCGAATTTGTCTCCTTTATTTTAATGAATAGATTGCTTGATAATAAAATAGAAACTACTTATTTAGGTTCCCATAAATCACATAGATTTTTATTAGTTGTCCTCCTATGCCCAATATTTACAATTTTCCTATAGTTCCCCTTATACTTGCTCAACCTTATAGATCATTAGGAACTTAACAATGATGATAATGTTTTAAAAATAGAAGTTATGTATAGTTATAACATGGTTCAACAAACAATAACTTGAAGCAGGGGAATTTCAGTAATGAATATAATAATCTCAGTTTTTCCTACAAATAAACATTTTCATATCATATAGGAAAACAGATCATCAGCAACATAATATCCTTAATATACGCTCTTTCTTATTTGTTTAAATTTATTAAAAATCACAAAATTAAGTGAGTGGAAGGAAGAGATTAAATACGGCGGGGGATAGACCAACTCTAGTATTTTCCCATAAATTTCAATAAATTTGTTGCATTCCTCGTATGAGAAATTAACATCCTCTAAAATAATTGATAAGACTTTTCTTCTTTTCTTTTTTAGGAACTTCACTATATGACCAAGCATATGTTTGGTTCAAATATAGTAATTTAAATGTTCTAACCTAACTCTTTCCTCACCATGTGGACAAAAAATCTATGACAAAATCCTTTTTTTCAAATTAAAAAATCTTGAACTATAAGAAAAATCATGATACAAGTATAGCCAATCTAAGTGTCTCCCTTAAGAGAAAGTAATTAAGTTCTTAATTACTTATGGGTGCATAACGTAAGTCATCATTCTTCTAAGGACCAAAGTTAATTAGTTCCATATTCATGTTTAAATGGTTTAGACAAAAAATGTGATCATTTAGAAAGATTAAAATATAATCAACAAGGAAAATCTAAGATCAATAACATTAACATAAGAAATTTAATTACCTTATAATTTGTTAACCAACTAACCTCAATAACTCAAAAAAGTGTTGATGAAATAAGTTAAAAATAATATATTTTGCACTACAAAAACCTTAATTGAAAGGGTATTTTAATTGAAAGCAAAGGGGAATGGGAATTATCCCATTAATTTGAATTATGAGAATCAGAGTTAAAGAGGTTAACTCAAATTAATATTTCTAAACATTTAATCATAATTAAAAAGAGAAAGGTTTAGTTATATTGCACAAATAATATTATCTTGGATTGGTCCAACATAACCTATGTCCAATCCTCAAGCCTTGCTTGAGATTTCTCTGATAATTGATTGAAGTTCAAAATGCAACAAACTTTTTACTCATAGAGGCCATTCCTTGATAACTCAATCCCGAACCATTTTCACATTTTCACTCTTAATCACCTTTTAAGGAAACCTTCCTAGTTAAGTGTAAAGTCAAAAGATAATTTTAGATTCCTCATGTTTTATAAGTTTTAATGATAACAAATACTACATGTTTTAGTAAGAAAACACACTATAAAAGTCATTGTTTTAGACTGAGTAAGACGAAGTAACGTTTGTAAGACAAAACTAATTAGATGAAGCATAGAAACTATCTCTAAAGATCATTATTTATTGTGACTGACGAGTTTAAATGTTTAAATGAATGCTTTATAACTCAACAGATCAAAAGTTGTTGTCTTGGAACTTGCATTTTGTTAAAATGTATAAAAGCATGAAGAGTAGCAGAACAAAGGACAAAGATCCTAAATTTCACATAAAAGATGTTGAAAAAGGATTGCATTCTCGCCTGTACGTTGACTTTGCTTCCTATTGTTCTCATTTTGCTACTATGCTCTAATAAGTAGCTTGATCTATCAAAGATAAGGAGTACATTTAGGTGAAATACATTAATCGAAGCATTTAATTCACCAATGAATACTTCATGTCTCTAAAGATTAGACAAAGGAGTAAGACGAAGTAGTTATGTGAATTAGACTCAAGAAGCTACAATAGTCATCTCTTTCAAAACTGTTATATGAAAAGCTCTAAAACTCAGAGAATAAAGAATAGACAATAGACAATAGAGAATAGAAGTGTAAATATAGAAAAAATTTGAGAAGATCTTCTTCAAGAGCCTTATTGTACTAAAACGATTTGTTGTAATCACGTCTAAAAGAGATGATAACTACAACCTTGTAATACCTTTGGAAACTTTGTTATAAGGTAAAGCTTGGAGAGGCTTGACTAAAAAAGAATACTTGGTTTTGAGCCTAGAGAGGCTTGTTTGTAAAAGAATACTTGGGTTTAAACTTGGAGAGGGTTGTCTGTAAAAGAATACTTAGGTTTGAGCCTGGAGAGACTTATTTGTAAAAGAATACTTGGGTAGTGGCTTAAAGATGTCAATCAAAAAATACTTGTTTGAGCAAGAAATGGCTTAGTAAAAGAATACTTGTAACTTTGCTGAAATTAGTGAAACTCAATTTGGTTGGATTAAGAACTGGACGTAGCCTTGGTGGTTGAGGTGAACAAATATAAAAATACTGTGTTTATCAATTACTCTTATTGACCCTTTGTCTGTTGCAGATACTACTTCACTTACTTGAAAACATGAAATTTTTTATATACATTATTCAACCCCCTTCTAGTGTCTATCTTTTCTCTGCATTAGACAAAACAAAAACCCTTCTTGCAATCGTAAGTGGATACTATTACATAGAACTCACCAAAGGAAATCATAATTATCTAGTTTTTAAAATCTAGTATCCAGATTAAATATTTATATATATGTGTGTGTGTATGTATAGCTATATTTAATGTATTTTAATTTAATTAATATGAATTGTTAAAGTAAAATTGTTTTACATGGACATCTAACTAAATTTCTTAAGTTTACTAAATCATATCATGTTATTTTGATTGAATTGAAAACATCAAAACTAAAAGGTAAGAGATTGCATTTTAAAATAAGGAAGTTCAAGTTGGGATAGGGTTTTACAATATGGGAGTGCAGTGAATTTATGTGACCACAAAAAGTGGAAGGTTTGAGCATCAATTTAGGGAATCGAGTACAAGGAGTGACCAGAGAAAAAAATAGGAGTAGAAGTTTTTAGATTAGAAGACAAGGTGACAAAAAATGAGTAGTGGGGTGTAGGAATGTGGTTGGAGACAATGCGATTTAGGGTTTGAGATGATCGAGTTGGAAAGAGAAGGGGGAGAAAAGAAAATAAGTGTCGTGAATTTGATATGGGGGAATGAGATGGAGAAGGGTGGCAAATAAAAAAGTGGATGAAAGTTTTGACATAAATAGAGAGGATAAAGGGAGTAGGCAAAAGCAATATATGTGGGTTTAGGTTTGAGATTGGAAAATCGTGAAGAAGGTGACAAAAAAATAGAGTTTAGATTTTGAGATGTATAACTAGGGAAAAAAGAGTATAACAGGATAAAATATGAGGGATAGATTAACTTTTTAATACCTCAAATATTTTTTAATGATTACTTTGACATGACTAAAGAGTTAAATTTTAATATCTAAAAAATTGTCCAATCTTAAGTGTGTTTTTTTTCATGAAAAGAAGGAGAAAATTAATCACCCACCTTGATAAAAGACATAGAAGAGAATTCAAATTCATTCCACAAAGTATTTTAGTTTTTTGTTATTAAAAATGAAAATGAGGGCTCACATATTGGTTTGAGAATACATATATGTAAAGAAACCATTTTATATTTTTATGAAATTAAAATGTGAGGTAGCATACAATATTTTGAGATAACATACTACACGTTTTAAATGAAAATCTTTAACAATGTATAGGGGTACACATTCCATTGCCTTTGCATTAAATATTTAATAGAAGTATGAGAGAAAATAACAAGTTTTTACCATGGAAAGGAAATTGTCATAAATAAAGAATACTTTTTTTTTACATGAACTCTTAGTTGGCACCAACTTACAATACCTATAAATATCCCAAGATATGTATTTAATGCCTTGCATAAATTTTAACAAATTTTGTTGAAACCACTTACTTACCTGTAAATTCCAAAACCATGCTACAAAACAATCATTTCACGTGTGTTGAATTCATATTTAGTTTTGTTAGTTATATCTTTACAAAGACTTCCATTATAAAAGCATCAAACATGACCTTCATATGTGCACCAACTCTTCTAAACAATTACTTAGACTTTCATCAAATATCGAACCTCCAAGATGGTCAATAATGTGTCTTGTTTTCATGTGGTATGCCATAGTTATACTTTATTTGTTATTCAAATATACTTAATGTAAGCATTTATTTTAATCATTTGTTTAAATTATCTATATAGGCTTACCTAAAAGAATAATGTCATGAACATAATTTGTAGCTAAAAATCTAACACCTTGTTCATCTACAGGATAACATGAACTTTATATCTAAAACAATGATACTTTCATTATCAATATTGTTGATTCTACCAAGAACATCGTATTCGCTATATCAAAAGCCTATAAATCATATCAATACAATTACTTTTATATCTAAAAGTTTTGAAATGGGACCAGGATCAATTGCAGCAAGAACATTTATGAATATAGAATTTCCGAAAGGTCATATTGGAATTAAGAGTTTTGATGCTGAATTAGTTGATCAAGAAGGAAACTCTATACCTTCTTATGAAACTTACCTTCACCATTGGTTTGCAATAAAGTATATTGAAAATTTTACTATGTCATGCAATCCTAAACTTGTTCATAGTGAGGATTTAATTTTCCAAAGAAATGAAGGCCCATGTAATGGATTTATTCTTCCACATTATTGGGGATTTGGAGTTGAATCACGAGGAACAACCTCAAACATTCCTGATCCTTTTGCAATAGAATTGGGTAACCCTTTAAAAGTTCCAAACGGATATGAAGAGAAATGGTTACTCAACATCATGGCCATTGATATACGTGGTGCACAAGATAAGAAAGGTTGCACTCAATGTAGATGTGACCTTCTAAGTCTTCCAAAGAATTTTTATAATGTCACAAGGGATATTCATAACCAACCATTGACTACAAATTATAAAGGAGGACTTTTTTGTTGTCAAGATAATGTGCAATGCAAGCTAAGTGAGGGTTTCCAAGGTTCAAGGAGAAATATTTCCTTAAGATACAAAATAAGTTGGGTGGATTGGAGTGAATATCAAGTACCAGTTAAGGTTTATATACTTGATTCAACTGATAAAGTGAGTTCAAATGGTTCCAAAGCAATTCATGATTGTCAGGTAGACAAGTTATTTAGTATAATGCTTTATGAGAATGAAAATTAGATTTTTTAATCCCTATTAGAGTGAGTGAATGAAAAAGATTCAAATCCTTGCAGGTAGAGTACACCATTCCAAAAATTTTTGGGAGTGATTTTCCTAATGTACAAAAGGCAAACATCCCAATGGAAAAAGGAGGTTATCTCATCTATGCAACCGCTCATATGCATTCTGGTGTGGTGAATGCAACTTTATACGGACAGGTGATGATTAGTGTGTGTCATCATTCTGTATAATCTTTCTTATTGGTTATAGATTAATTATTTGAAAACCCTTTTTGCTTAATTTGATTTTATGTATCACATTTTTTGTTTTCCATGCCATTGTCTGAAGTCAAATATCCTAAAATATCTTGAACTCTAAAATTTTTATTCTCTTATGATTTAGGATGGAAGGACTCTGTGTACTTCAACACCAAAATATGGAACGGGAAAAGAGGCAGGAAATGAGAAAGGTTATCTCGTTGGAATGTCTGTTTGTTATCCACAACCAGGTTCTATCAAGATTAATGATGGTGAAACTTTGACTCTAGAATCAAGATATGAAAATGAGTTTCGTACAGGAGCTATGGGACATTTTTACATTTATTTGGCAGAGAAACTACCACAAATATACTAAAATTGTAATTTAAAATTATTCATTTGTCTTCCCTTAGAATTTAAGTTTTTTTTAGATGGTTTATGTCACAAAAAATAAACCTAAAAAAAATCTTCGTCCTTGTCTCGCTTGATGTGGATATATTTTTCTTGCATGCATGTGCTACCAGGTGGTTCAAAAGAAAGTAAGGAACATAACAAAAAGAAATGACACTTTCTATTTTTTTTCGATATTCAAAGCTTTGATTCTTTAAAGGTGCATGATTCCTTTTGTTTTGAATTTGTCTCCTTTATTTTAATGAATAGATTGTCTGATAATAAAATAGAAACTACTTATTTAGGTTTCCATAAATCATATAGATTTTTATTAGTTGTCCTCCTTTGCCTAATATTTACAATTTTTCCTATAGTCCCCGTTATACTTGCTCAACTTTATAGATCTTTAGGAACTTGACAACGATGATAACATTTTTAAAAATAGAAGTTATGTATAGTTATAATATGGTTCAATAAACAATAACTTGAATGAGGGGAACATCAGTAACAAATATAATAATCTCAATTGTTCCTACAAATATACATTTTGATATAATATGGGAAAATAGATCACTGGCAACATAATATCCTTAATATACACT